GGTGACATTTTTATTGGGCAGCTGCACGTGGGTCACCAGCAACGCAGCGGCCTTCTTTTTACAAGCGACACTCGTGAACGTTTGCAGAAATATGCCGCAGAATAGATCCCACGTTTGAAAGGCAGACTCCCGATTCTTGAACCAGGTCCTTGCCGCGTATTCCAGATTAAAGTAGACAGGTTGGAGCTTCTCTTCCGCGTCCCAGTGGTTGTGGATGGCCACTCGGTCGTAGGTCTCTGGCCAGGTCTCCGAGATTTCAAAAGATGACCCATAGAAAATAGGTGGTTTCCTTGGCTGCTGCATCACGATCGCGGGCTGTGGCGCAGCAGTTGTCATCGTTGCCGCGATCGAGGTCATGGCCTTGGTCTTCCGAGCCTTGTCTTACAGAGGCTCGTACTTCGGAGACAAACCCTGCTGCCTGCGGCTTTTTCAGTGCTCGTGGCTAGCGTCGGTGTCTTCTTCACGACGCGGGCTGGGTTCACGGCTTGACGGGGGTGTCCGGTACATGAACGAAGCAGCACCTACACCAGATGTCACAGGGTTGTGACGTGAATGAAGGGAGCAGACTCCAGGTCGAAGAAGAAACTGTTTATTCAGGCCGAACTTGTGGCCACCCAAAAGGAAAGTAAGACACTGGCACTGATAGCGGCTAACAGAGCGTCGGAGGTTGATCAACTGACAAGCAAGCGGCGAATCGTGTCGGCATTTATACCCTTGCCATCGAATATTCTAACGTTATCGCTAGCGGTGACATAGGTTCCCGAATAATCTGTGACGTTCCTGAAGTGGGCGTAATCGTAACAAAACTATCTGCTAAAGCCTCAAAGCTTCTCGAACATCGTAGCCGTGGTTTGCGCTGAACGTAGTGTAACGGGATGATAACAAAACTTGAGGAAAGGAATGTGGCAATATCTATGGTTGTCTTTCGCTGTTACTTTGTTACATAGAAGAATTCATTATACAGAGGTTCGTTATAAGCAGGTTTAACTGTATTACAGAAGCTGCTTTGCAACACGCTTCCCTTTATGATTAGTTCTATGGCTAGCAAACACCCAAAAAATGCTCGCATCACAGTCTGTTTAATAAAAAAAAATTTTGAGGCTGATGGTGAATCGTGAAATAAGTGTCCAAGCAATCTGCACATGAAAGGCCTGTGTAAAATGGAGATTAGTGGTATTCGCGAAAATGGAAACATGTCGCAGCAGTCAAGCTTTAAAGGGGCCCTTTAAAGAAACTTTTTGAGCATGGTCAAAAAAGCTGTTGATCAGTAGTAGAGGCTCCTGACAACACGCGAGCCAAATAATATAGCGCAGCACGCGGCCTGGAATTCACAATAAATTATCAAAGTCAGCTAAAAATCGCTTTCTCTTCTCTTGACAAATGATGAAAGATGCTCAAAAGTCACTCGTAGAAAGCCCATCTATCAGCCATTGGCTGATTTGAACATGGTGCGCTCGGTCGTTACAGAGATCGCCGCGGGAGGCCGAAACTTGTCCAAGCGCGCGCGCGCGCAGTCACACTAAAGAAGCCGCGCATTTGAAGAAAAAAAAAGGAACGGAGTGCTCAAGGTCACGAGGCACGCATGACGTTTTTATTTGCCCCTGCCATCCCTCCCTGTTTAGCTTCCAGCACTTTCATCGGGACAAGAGAAGAGAGAATGCAATTGCAGCACGCGACAAATCTTTGTAACTCCACTCGCACTACATGGAATCTTAAGATTTTTGTGGCGTTGAATTCGAGAGACAATAGGCTTTTCCAGTGAATTCATTCTATGGTTACTTGAAAAAGTGTTTCAGGGGCCCTTTAACGAAGTCGACTTGCCGTCGTCTGCAGACCATTCGCAAGCTTGCGGACGGCCATTGTCTAAGCCTGATACATACAGTAGACTCCCTTTAAGGCGAACTCCAAGAGACCATGATCATTTGTTCATCTTATCAGGAGTGCATCTCATCAGATGTGCCCCCAAAAACCAAATGCTAACATGCCACGTCTGCCCAAATAAGTTGCTTGAAAACACTGAATGAAATATATTTACAATGGTGAGGAAAGGAACAAGAAAAATCATTTATTTGGCTCAGCTTGATAAAAACTATGCTTTCATATAGAGTATTTAGACTAATCTAACGAGTACTCGATTGAGCAAGTTTATAACAAATATGCTCATGAATAAATTGCTACCACATTTCATCAGTAAAACTATCACAATCCAATTTTTACAATCAGAAAAAAAATAAAAAGAGAGAGAGACAAGCACAATTTTCTTTCAAAAAATGAAAAATTTATTTTTCTGGCTGTTCACCTTCTATTACTACTTTTGGATATGCCTCCATTGCACACCACTACCTTGACAAAGCCAATAAACCCCAAGTTGCTTATGAAAGTCTGCAAGCTTTTCTTCTGAGGTTCGGATATTTTTTCACTTTCATCACGCAATAATTTCTCCGGAACGACGTGCAGCTGCAGATCTTCATTTATGCTACTCACGATCACAAGCCTTGGGCACACAAAAAAGACACGACGCAGCCATACTTAGTGTGCACAATAACCTGCCTTTATTATGCACTTTCTTAATAAAAATGGCGCATGACAATTTGCTGCGTTTCACTGGGAGCAGATACGACGTGCACAGGCCCTATGCAAAACAACGCAAACTGACCACAACATGTGCTCAGGCACCATTATGTTACGGCGATGACACTGCATCTGAATACTCTGATGGGAGTGCTAGTGCCACATATGTGGTTTCCGTTTCATGTGATTATAATGCACAGACAATCTTTGTTCCCATTTTCACTCTCATTTGACTTCTTTTTTTTTTCCCCCTTCCCTTGCATTTTCCCCTCTAGTCAAGCTTTTGTGTTCTTCTGTTCTACACTGTATTCCAGTTGGGGAACTGAAGAACGTGAGGTGAATATAAAAAAACGAAAGCTTTTTGTTGCTTTCTTTACTGATAAAGCCGACCTTTCTCCACCTACAGGCTAGGGATGGGGGAGTTACCAGCTTTATCCACTGACCTGATTGATATGTGGGGTTTAACGTCCCAAAACCACCATTTGATTATGAGAGACGCCGTAGTGGAGGGCTCCGGAAATTTTGACCACCTGGGCTTCTTTAACGTGCACCCAAATCTGAGTACACGGGCCTACAACATTTCCGCCTCCATCGGAAATGCAGCCGCCACAGCCGGGATCCAAACCATTTTATCCACTGACCTTTCTTTTACACTTGTCTCACTTTCTCCCTCCATGTCACAATTTGCCTTCGATTTGCTTTTCAAGTCTTTGTAACAGGAAACTTCTGTTTTTTTTTGTCATTTTGCTTTCTTTTGTTCACCTGAATTGCCCCATCAAGATTGTAATGTTCATTTCGCAGAATCCCCGTCCCCATCGATCACTGCGATAGTTTGTCTTAACAGAAGAGGCCTGTTATGCGGATAATCTTAAGCAGATTTTTTCGTTTTGAGTTTTTTTTTAATGAACAACACCCTCATGTTTTTTGTTTTAAGAAAAAAATTTTCTTAACAAAGTTCGCCTTAACGGGAGTTTACTGTACTTAAAGGGGCCCTAGAACACTTTTTTGAGTAACCATGAAATTAATTCACTGGAAAAGCATATTGTCTCACAATTTCAACACCGCAAAAATCTTGGGTATTTGTCCAGTACGAGCGGAGTTACAAAGATTTGTCACACACTGCACTCACATTCTCTCTTCTCTCGTCCCAATGAAGGCACTGGAAGCTAAGCAGGGAGGGGTGAGAGGGGCAAACTAAAAACGTCTTGCGCGCGTTGTGACGTTGAGCGCTTTTTTTTTTCTTTTTTTTCTCTTTAAATACGTGGCTTTTTCAGTGCGATCGTGCACGTACGCGTGGACAAGTAACAGCCTCCTATGGCCTCCTGTAACGCCCGAGCGCGCCATGTTCAAATCAGCCAATGGCTGATCGATGGGCTTATTACGAGTGATTTTTGGACTTATTGCGTGATTTGTCTAAAAACGAGAAAGCAATTTTTAGCTGATTTTGATAATTTATTGAGAATTTCAAACCACGTGCTGCATTATAATCTTTGGCCCGCGTGTTGTCAAGAGCCTCTACTACCGATCGGCAGCATTTTCTGACCCTGCTCAAAAAGTGTTGCAGGGCCCTATTAAAAAAATGCCTTTGTAGAACCTAGTGATAACTGACTATGTGGTGGTTCCGTGTTTGGCAGACAGTTAGTGATCAGCAATTGAACATGGATAAATCATCGTGCTTTTTCTAGCAGTCCTCATTTTGTAACCAGTCTGGAGCTCTGCATGTGACAATTATATAATACCATATTTACTAGAATGTAATGTGAGCTTTGTTTTTTGCTTTTTTCACCCCAGATTTTTGCTACTAATATCGACCCTCACGTACCGAGTACCGAATTTCCTTTTTTTTCCCTTCCTGGATGCAATAAAATTTTACCTTTCGCGTTACAATTGCAGTCATGTTACAATTGAAAAAAACCACTTAGTGAGCAATACACGGCGCAACGCTTACACAACCTTTGTTTTCATGTGCTTTCTTTAACGTTTTGAAGGCAAGCTTTAAATCAAAGACTTGCGATTTTTTCCAGAATGCAAACCCATGTGCACTGGTGGAAAGCAAGGCAAGAGAAAGTGAACTATGCACTCGATTATTTTTTCCTGTTATTAAAAACGTTTTTTGGTTGTGGCATTGCAACAATAACACCAATCTCAAAGCTTCGTTTTCCTTGTTTGATTACCACCCATGGCGGCATGATTCAAGTTAGTAGCCACTAGTATTTGTATGCCCAAACGTTTCTGGCCATGCCTGACAGGGTGGTGCTTCATGTGCACAGAAACTGCAGCGCTGGTTCCCCTATAGTGCTCAAAGCAACCTGTGGCAGCTTTACAGCTATGAAACATACAAATGTGTGTAATAATTTACTCAAAAATATAATAAGACATCAATAGGTCCCTGATGAGTAAAGAAAGGGATGAGCAAAAACTTAACTTACGCAGGTGAGATAGGTACACGAACCCTCATATCTAGGTCTACTGGATTCCCAAGCCAGGAACCATTGGGGTAGTCATCCACTGGAAAATATTAAGCGCAAAGAAACTGAGTTTGAAGCATTCAAATGCAAATGTGATAAAAAGTGGTGAATCCAGAGGGGGGCGGTAAAAACAATGGCCCCCACCCCCCAAAAAGTCATGTGAGCACCCTGTTAGGTACGGCGCCTTAGCTTTCAAGGGAGCGGTGTTCTTTTGATCGTCGCACAAGTCTCCGAACGGCTGCTGGTCTATATCTGCCATGTATTGTCCTTCCAGGCCGAAGGGTAAGGCATCGTACCACCATGACGACGTAGGCCGTTTCCCGAGAGCACGACAAGGGTTTACATGGTGGCAACATCTTCCTTAGAAGGGACAGCGGCGGCAGCCGTAAATTGCTCCGCTAATTGAGTGAGCAGTTCAGGAGACCCTTTTGAGCTTGGTTACGGCAGCCTTTTTAATGTATGCTGTCGTGAGCTCGGGACCCCTCGCCCAGCAAGACGCTCATGACAAAGAAGAGCCACATTGGTGACACAGTGCACTACAGTGACCAAGCCTCAATATTGGACGTTTACTCGGCAGTGTGTGCGCGTCACCCTCGCAAGTTGTGTGTGACAGGTGATTGGACAGTGTAATTTGGCGCCCTTTTCCTGATCCACGGATCGGGAAAAGGAGACTGTTTATAATCAGCCCTCGCGGGCTGCTTCTTGTGCTTCTTCGATGCAGTGCTGATGCTTTTCGATGTAGAGCCTTCGACGAGATCGTCACAATGTAGGGCGACATTTGCGTTTACATGTTCGTCAAGTGGCAAGAAACTCTCACTTGTAAATAATGTAAAATAAACCTCTGTAAATATCTCCTGAAAAACACGCCTTCCTCCCTGCAAGTTGGGCTAAACAAATCCAGTGGGGGCGGCCAGCTACCCACAACGAGACACGCCGGACCCGAACCGCAACGACTGGCAGCAGAAATGATATGATGTCAGACCTCAGTCCTAACAACTGGATGACAACGGTTCGATAAGATGGACATCTGAAAGTGAACGGAGGCCCGCTGATATATAACTGCCCACAGATGGTGGGATTGAGTTTGTCGGACTGGAAGGCAACGCTGAAGCCTGCTACCCGGATGACCTAACACTGAAGGATGGTTCCTCGTGGCACTGCTGACAGCTCCGGAGGGAACATGCCTGAATTCATGACTGCATATGGTGAGTGCATGGCTGTTTTTAGTTAGGATATCACCAGGATTTGTGAAGCAGTGATTTTGGTACTGTTGACAGAAGTAGGTATAGTACGTCAAAGTTGTTTAAGCAGCGAAGAGTTAGCAGCACTGGGGGCAGCCATGAATTTGAAGGCACTAAAGAAGCCGTAACTGTTAGAGTTAGCCCTAGAGTTGGGTCTCCAAATTGCCAACTTGAAAGGAAAGCCAGAAGTGATTGAGGCGATCGAGGCGATTGGAGCAGACGATGACGAACTCGAAAAATGTTTAGAGTACATCGAGCTTCAAAAAGAGGAAGAGAAGCGCAAGCGAGAAAGAGAGAAAAGGTGGCTTAGGGAGCAGGCAGATCGCTGCAAGCACAAACAGGAAAGAAAGAAACTCAAGCGGGAAAGAGAAGAAAGATAGCACAGGGAAGCTAAAGAAGAGGAGAAGCGCAAGCGGGAAAGAGAGGAAAGAGAGCGCAGGCATGAAGAACATAGGAGGAAAATGCAGGCATTAGATGAAGAAATAGAAAGGATACATCGTAAAGTGGTGGCATTGGAGCAAAGACGCCAGATACCTGTAGATGTAGCGCATGAATGGTGCGATGTAGCGGCGGTGCCGTTAAAGGCCGAAAAGAAGGCTACTGGTCAGACATCTGTAGATGTAGTGCTCGAACGGTGTGATGTAGTGGCGGTGCCGTTTAATGCCGAAGAGAAAGCTACAGGTCAGACATCTGTAGATGTAGCGCACGAGCGGTGTGATGTAGCGCCAGTGCCATTTAAGGCCAAAGAAAAGGCTAGTACTTGTGAGGGAAAAGTAGATACCCTAACTCGTTTCGAGCGAAGAAAGCTTGCAATCAGAGCAGGGTGTGAGGGTTCCGTGGTGGTAGAAACAGAGTTAAGATTAAGAGTGTTCCACGACAATAGAACCTTGCAGCCCTATAGACGATGTCGATGAGTATCAGAGGCGGACGAAAGGCTCCAAAGTTGGCACCAAGGAGCGTGCCAAACAGAGAAAGTGTACGAAAAACCGAAGCACGGCAAAGCTCGCGATCAGCGTGACGCATTTCATGAAAAGCTTGAAACGGCATAGTGAAATTGCGAGAAAAGTGTCGTCACCTCTGACACCTCGGTGTAGCATGCGTCCAAACGGCCGGAGAGTAAATAAATTAAAAGTGCAATATACACGGCAGCAGTTGAGCAATGAATCGATAGGCAATCATCAGGACTGTGCGCATGAGACAGCAGAGGAGCATATTGATGATGATGAACGTCAGAGTAGGACGAAAGGCTCTCAAGTCCACACAAAGAAGCGTGTGCAAAGTAGAAAGCATCCAAAGGGCAGCAGTGAGGCAAAACTCATGATGAGCACAATGCGGTTGAGTAAAGGCTTCAAACGGCGGAGTGAAATCGCGAGAAAAGTGCCGTTGTCATCTCTGACGGGTCTGTACCTTATGCGTCCGAGCTGCTGGAAAAGAAAAGCACATCGTACGCGGCAGTATTCAAATGACAAATTACAAGACAGTCATCAAGACAGTGCACGCAAAAGAGCCAACGAGCATGTGGGTGCTGATGAGCATCAGAGGTGGGAATATGGCTCCATAGAGGGCACCAAGAAGCATGAAAAACAGAGAAAACGTCCTAAAGACAAGCGGGTGAAAATCGCAATGCATTTGAGTAATGTGTTCAAATGACGGAGCGAAATTTCGAGAAAGTTGCCATGTCGGAAGCATTCGAGCGGCTGAAGAGCAAAGAAAAGAGCAGAGGGCAGTGAACCCTTCCATCGTTCTTGTGGAGTATTGGACGGGATTCGGAATACAAATGTGGGTGGTTTTCGTGAACTGACAGGAAGGGATGACAGCAAGTTGGCATCGAGGAACGTCGTGGGGTTTAGTAGCAAGGCGATCGACTTTTACGTGTGTTGTACACCCCACTTGTCGAGAAAATCATTCTGGTCGCGACCACCGCCAGTTCGACTGAAAGTTGTTGAGAACAGCTGTTATCTTCTCAAAAATGTTGACTCAGGACTGTAAAAAGGAACGTTTTATTTGTTTACTTCAGTGATTTCATAAATAATTAGTTTGAACTTTGTTTTCGTCAGCGCTCTATCATTTTGGTAGCCTATATGCGTAGTACAGTCGAGCCCACATATAACGGCCCCACTTAAAACAAACTTTCGCTTAAAATGAACAATATCCGCGTGACCGTCAAAATATACATTGGTTCAATGGCACAAAATCGCACTTGCAACGAACGTCTCCCAGCGCTGCTGATAGTTTACAGCGAACTGAGTCAGCGGCCTGCCGACTTCCCGGGAAACCAATTTCGACCACCGATCAGGCATCGGCGAGGTGCCCATACATTCTTATTGTTAAATGCCGACCCTGCCTCCGCGCCCCTCTAGTTGCCGCTCTCCCCGACTGCTTTTTGTTACGCACCCCTCCGTCCTTTGTCCCCCCCGCTACCCTGAGTACCCCGCATCGCCAGACGAGGCCCGTGTTTAAACAGTGCCACCGATCTTTCGAAGACCGGTCGGCCATCAACCCTGTTTTTGATCGCTAGTACTGTCGATGGTGTCGCCGGCCTGGAGTGACCAGACCATTTGCCAACATCGTCGGCCACCGACTGTATTCGATAGTCTGCGACTAGTGCACACACGTACGCTACCCCGACTCTGATAATTTGCGATTAGTTTCGTGTTTAGGACTTGTTTTTACTCACTTCACACTCGGCTGAGCATGCCTTCTGTGCACATGCGGAAGCGCAAAAACGATTGTTAATTTGCGCGGAACGAATCGCGAAATATTGAAGTTTGTGAGGCCACGCAAACCCGCCGGCGCAACGAAACGATTTTTTGACAACAGCCGCCGATTCTTCGAACACCGCCGCACGCACCGATTCAGGCGGCCATGCACTCTTTCCAAGTTTTTCTACATGCGAGTTTCGCGGACCTTTCAAGCAAGCTACCCAACCTGCCTCCTTCCCGTGTGTTTTGGTTCTTAATGTTGCCCTCCCGCCGCATCCTCCCCTCTCTTTATCGCAACTCCTTGCCTTTCTCTCGCAAGTCTGCTCATCTCTCTTGTTCACAACCCCTTCGCCCGTCTCCGCTGCTCCGCGACGTGGCTCGAATTAGTTTCGTTTTCTGACTGAAAATGGGCCTAGAGCTGTTCCACGCACTCTGGCATGTGTGTCGCGTGTGCGCGTCTTGCTCGCTCTTGGTTTGCGTGTGTGGTCATGATGGCCGAGGGGACGACTAGCACGCTTTTTCGTGCCGCTCAACAAAACGTCGAAACTGTGACCACTTGGCTTGAGCATAATCAGCGCGTTAGGTGCCGCGTTGCAGAGCGCTTGCTCATAGCTGTTGACCACCTGGCAGCCAACTTGCCGCTTCGGGAATCCCTATATTCAGCTGTGGAGTTAGTGAATATTTCGTGGGCTGTGGTGACGACTACATGCGCGCGAAACTGTTTTCGCGAGACCAACTTCGTCGACGTCGGGCCCGATGCCGAGCCTGAAGCTTCTGAACTGTGGCGGTGATTTGTGGCCATGCGTCGTCGACTCCGACCCGGGAGAGCGGGTGGGACATCTGTTGCGATGGTTTAATTACGGCCGATGATGATCCCAACACTGCGGAACCATGCACGGATTGGGGCTTTGTGAATTAAGTATGTGGCGAGAGCGATTTGAAGGAATCGGACTGCGAGAACGACGAAACTTTGGAGCCAGTGCCTCATGCAGATTATGCCGCGAGCCTCGGCGAACGAGCACCCTGCCGTTTTAAATGAACTCGAGAACACGTGCATCGCGGACTTTTTGGGGCAAAAAAAGTTGGTGTTTTCACTC